ATACTATACGAATAAAATATGATCTTTATCACGATATTTATTTAAACATACGGGCCTACAGTATAAGGAAAAAAAAACACCCAAGCAGAATTATCATATAAAGTAGGGCTATCATGTGCAAGGAGGATAAGCGCGTTGAGTTTCTCGTTAGCAATCAGAAAGGCAGCCTGGCCTACCCACACGACGAGAGTGTTACCATGTTTACCTTCTATTGTGAGTTACACTGCAATACATGGATTAATTTTTCAAAGCGGATGGTTGTAGGCCTAATCCTTAAGCGATAAATCCTCCCTTAAGTTATACATCTGCCGGCTCAAATCCAATTCGAATTAAGAATTTAAAGTATTGATAATTGTAATAATATATACATTGGTGATTTTAAAAAATTGAAACGAAAACACTACATATGAACTCAACTTTTCTTTCTAATTTACAAATTGATGTGTTTGAATACTTTGAATAGTGTGTTTAATACTACATAATATATACTATGTATTACATAATGAATATTATAATATAAGCGTATAATAATTATATAATAACGTAACATAGGCCTAATAATTAGGCCTATTAGCATAATATGATATATTATTATTATACCATGCTATAATTGAAGTATTACTATAACAAAGTACCGTACCTTATATAATTATCACTATAGAATAACATGTATACTATATAAACGACTATAACAATACATTGATATAATTATTATTATATATTATAATTTAATTATTATAAAAGCGTATGGTATATTATATAATTATTATTACTATAGAATAACAGGCATACTATGTAATATCATTATCAAAATACATTTATGCTATATGATAGCACACTGGTAATTGTATTATATATTTATTATACGTAAAATGTGTTCCTTCACGTAAAATGAAAAATATAATCAACATAATAGGTCTATGTCATATGATATGCTATAAATTATTTCATTATTTATACTTTGCACTAAAATAAGTTTCGTTCACATATTAGACCTAGACCTATGCCTATATGTATTTAACAGAAAGTGAATGCTTTCTCGCTGTCATATGCCACATGAAGGTGTTTTTCTTTAATGGCAGACATTTAAAGGAATATTTTTCACTGAATTATTGATTAAATATGGTCAGGCCTACATAATAGTGAAGTCCTGAAGAGTAATAAATTGCACTACAAAAATGGACCTCACAAAATCACTTAAGTGTTATATAACTGAATGGGTGTTTACAATGTATAAGTTCACTGCATTGGAAATAAATTTAATGGTAAACACATCATAACCGTGTTACCTCCACGTAATAACAGTATCAGGAATGCTTATTGAAAATATAGTTTTCACAATAAAGATATCTAGTTGCTATCAGTGAATCAACGTAGCGAGTTAATCTCCGTGATGCTAGAAAAATGAGGCGTGAAACAAGAGTTTTTGATCTGGAATTCTCCAGGGGTAAAGAGATATAATATTTAAAGGTAAGGGCGGCAACAGTTTGAGGAGCCAATCGGCCGTAAGGAATCACTGTTGCGTTGTGGTGAAGCGTCGTCTCATCCAGCTGCCGTTTAAAAAGTCACATACTCAACTGTTGTGATTTTTATTGATTTCCGAAACTTTAAGCTTATCTTTTCCGCGTTGAAATCCCCAACCCCACTACCCCCTTCAATAAAAGGCATCTGGTTTTTAATCACTTGATTTGATAACAAGC